GCATGCCGTCGGCGGACAGGGGTCTCAGGCAGGCCGTCTGCTGCACCAGTTCAGCCTCCGCCAGCGATGGGGCCATCTTCAGCAGGTCGCCCATCACCTTGTCCCGCGCGGCAGTGGTCAACTCTTCGTCAAATCCAACGTCCTCTTCCGTAGTTCCGGCCCAGATGAGACCGTCAGGCTTGGAAGCGGCATAGCTTCCAGCGTAATTCAACGACGCCACCATCGGGTTCTCCGATAGCTGCAAACGGATAATCTGACCCTTCAGCGGCCTCACCGGTATATCCACGCCGCACCATTCCGACATGCCCCCCGTCCAGGGTCCGCCGGCCAGTACCACCGTACCCGCTTCCATCTGACCGGTCTCCAGCTTGACGCCCCGACACTGGCCACTTTCGCTCAGCAGGCCGGTTACCCGCCGCTGCACAATGGTTGCCCCGTACTTCTCGGCGGCCTGGGCCACTGCCAGGTTGTAGCGATAGGCCTCCACCGCGCCGGTTCCCTGGGCGTAGGAGGCTCCCAGGCAGTTCGGATTGGTCCGGGGTTCCGCCTTCACCGCCTCCGAAGGTTCCAGCCATTCCACCTTGAAACCGGGGAGCTTGGCCTGCCATTGAATGGCTTGCTTCTGGTGGTCTGCCTCATCCTCGGTGAAGGCCAGGTTGAGGCGGTCGCGAAGGTGGAACTGAGTGTCTATGCCCGTCTCCTCCTTCAGCTCCTCGTAACTGGACTTATGCCGCTCAAAGCACCAGACGCTGAAGTCGAGAATATGATCGGGTATGCCCGCTCCCTCCAGTGGACCCAATCCACCAAAGGCAAACCCCGAGGCATGGCTGCCAACCGAGTCGGACTCCAGAATGTTAACGCTGGCGCCGCCCCTGGCCAGCAGGTAGCCGGTCAGGCAACCGGCAATACCGGCCCCCACAACAATTACGTCAGGACTGTTAGTAGAGTCGCCTTGTGAATTGCTGGTCACGACTTGCTCCTGAAAGGGCTGATTTCCTCCGTACCTCGACTTCCATATTATATGAGAAGCACGAGACGGCAAGGGGATCCAGTCGGTCTTGGGCAAGTTAACCATTCTTGAATCGAATAAGGACTGTCAGTTTTAGCCCTGGCCAGAGGTCATGTCGCCCTGAGCGAAGCCGAAGGGCCCGGAATCCTCAACTGAAGCCCCGGTTGGTGGCCGAGAATGAGTCCGCATTTTAATGGCGTAGATCTCTGGTCACTTCATTGACAGATGAAAGCAGGAGGAGACTCCTTCTTGTCTCGTGTGCCGCCCAGCGGCTAACTCCTCCCGCTCCGTATGTTTCCGTTCCCGTCCGGCGGTTCTTGTTTTCAGTATGTTAAAGTATTCGCCAATTGGAGAATGGCTGCAGACTTCCCCTGGACTGAAACCCGGGTAGAGTCCCAGCCTGCTCCTTAACCCGCCTGAACCGGAGCAACCATTGACTCATCCCGGCGCAATTGGAACCTGCCGCGGGCCATCTGATTCCAGGCTGTGCAACCGCCCTATTCTCACTCAGGTAAGCCTGCTTTGACCGGTTCCCTGCAACGACTGGCCCAGCGCCTGCCTTTCTTCTATGGGTGGGTGATACTGGCTTCCGCCAGCAGTACCCAGGTGGTGCGTACTGCTCCGCACAGCGCCTGACCTTGCGTGTTCATTGACATTTAACACAAACCCCTGGACGACTGGTCGACGACCGGAAACGGAACTGGTTGGAGCCGTACTCTAATTGCCGGCGCCGCCAGCGTCGGAGGCCTCGCCGCTCCTGCCCTGTCTCCGCTGGTCGGCTGGCTGGTGGACCGGTATGGAGCGCGGCTGGTACTGGCTTCCAGCGTCTTCATTATGGGGTTGGCAACCATCTTGCTGTCGCTGGCCACCATACCCATATTCTTTTACCTCTTCTACGGCATCAGCCGTGTGATTTTCGCCAGTCCCATTCCCATCGGCGCCTCCGTGGTGGTATCCCGGTGGTTTGTTCGAATGCGGGGCCGGACCAACGGTATATTGTTTGCCTCCCATTCCATAGGGCTCGTGGCCTTCCCGCTGATTGCCTCGGCCGTTATTGCCAGCTATGGTTGGAAGGAAGCCTGGATAGTTCTGGGCGCCCTGGTGTGGATCATCGCCCTCATTCCGGTAACTTTTTTCATCGTGCAACAACCCGAGGACCTGGTCCTGCGTCCTGATGGAGACCCCGAGGTTGATCCTGCTCTGGCCGTACCGGACGACGCTCCGGCCGAGGCCAGCGCTCCCGTCGCCGAAGAACCCACCTGGACCCGCAAAGAAGCGATGAGAACTCCGGCTCTTTGGATCCTTGCTATAGGCGTCGGAACCCTTTTCCTGGTGCAGGCAGGTATTAACACTCACTTGGCCGCCCTGTTGAGGGATGAGGGGCTAAGCGTATTCCTGTCCGGCGTGGGCCTGAGCCTTTCGGCGGCCTTCATGGGCGCCGGCAGTCTCGCCTGGGGCTGGATTGCCGAGCGGTTTCCGGTGCGGTACGTGCTGGCCACCGTTGCCGTGGCCGTAGCCTTGCCTGCTCTCCTGTTCCTGACTGCCGATACTACCCTGGAAGGCCTGGCCTATTCCGCCTTGCTGGGATTCGGGGTTGGCGGCATTCTGTCGGTCCCACCCATCGCCTACGCCGATTATTACGGGCGCCGTTCTTTGGGAGCTATCCGGGGTGTTACCGAGCCATTCACCAGCCTGGGACAGGCCATCAGCACCGTGGCGGCGGGTGTAGTCTTCGACCTGACCCAGAGTTACGACATCGCCCTTACGGCCTTCGCAGCCCTGGCAGCCTTGACCGCCGTAGTGATCCTGTTTGCTCGTCCGCCCGCTCGGCAAGCAACTGCCACTGACCCTGCCCGATAGTCCGTTCACGATAGTAGTCAACGCTGGGAGCGACTGCATTCCGATTTCGCCATCCTGGACTCGTCATAAAGTTGACAATCCCGCCGCCGAATAGGTAATATCAACTAGAGTGGGTGCAGTACGTTATTTCGTGTTGCAGGTTACCCGGCACGGAGGTGGTTGGCATGGCGACAGTGGACAACCGAACCGCTTACTGGGAGCAGGCCAGAGAGCAGGGATTCGACCTTTCCTGGCTCAGCCAGCTTGAAGAGCATGTGGCCGGTCAAGATGTGGAAGAAGTTTCCGCCAATAATACTGGACGCGTCCAGGGCTCTATCCCCCGCAACGACGTGGCCCAATTCGGCGCCTACACCTTTCGCACCAAGAGCGAGGTCTGGGCATACAACCTGACCAAGCTTTACGAAGAGTTCATCACCCGCCAGTGGAGTTCGGCCACCGACATTCCCTGGGAAACTATCCAGCCCCTGCCCGACGATATTGAAGCCGCCCAATGCCAGTTGGCTACCTTCTTCACCCAGGTGGAGTTCGTCGCCTCCGATGTGCCAGGCCGGTTCCTCTCTACCATGTCTCCCGACTATCAGGAAGTACGTCTTGCCCTGTTAGCCCAGGTGATGGACGAGTCCCGGCACCTGGATGTTTTCCGTAAGCGGGCCCTGTCCAACGGTGGCGGCCTGATGCGCATGACCGACAGCGTCTCTGACGTGGTAGGTGGCAGCACCGATAACGCCCGCGAGTTCACCGAATTTTCTTCCCGTCTTCATATCACCGGCGAAGGCAACGTGCTTACTCTCTTCCGCCTCGGCGAAATGATGGCCTACAACGAGGCGGAGAAGACAATCTACCGTCGCTGCGCCCAGGATGAAGCCCGCCACGTGGCCATCGGTGTGCTTCATTTGCGCTACATGAACGAATTTGCCCCGGAAAGGCGCGAAGAGATCCACTGCTATTTGGACGAAGGCGAAACTCGCCAGTCCAGCGGCGCCGGCGGCGAGAACCCGGCGGGGCGTAACCAGCTGACCAGCGAGGCTTTGGCTGTGCTGCTGGGTGGTGGCAAGGACAAGGTGGACGAAGGCCAGAAAATCCTGATGGCCATCCGCCAGCGCCAGACCAAGGAATACTTCCAGAGGCTCAAGTCCGCCGGTTTCGACGACCGGATCCATAATGGACGGGTCAATCCGGTATTGCTGGAGCAATACAAAGCCGCCGCATAACACTATTGGCCAGTCACCAAGAGACCTCCCTCGGCAATTCGCGGGAGGTCTTGCTTTGTATGGCGGAAAGCAAAATTCCAATTGTGCTTGAGGCTGAATATGGCCCTTGAAGAAGAACAGGAACATCAGGCTGAATTGGAAGATAAAGAGAAGGCCTCCATCCCGGAAACCCCTCCCACGCCCAGCGCCGAACCTTTGGGGTGGATGAACGACACCTTGCAATGGGGCGTCCGAGCCCAGCCTGGCAAACACGGCCTCACCATGCGCGACCTCAACATCGGCATCTACGGGGAAGTACCCGAGTCCAGTTCCGACATGAGTCGCCGTCCCCGTGGCGCTTTCCCTATTTCGGGTGTCCCCCGCACCGACCTCTATGCCCTGAGCGCCAAGGTCGACCTGTGGGCCGACAATGCCGTCGACCTCTACGAGGAAGCCATCCAACGGCGCTGGATGGGGCACGCGGACGTGGCGTGGGACGACATAGCCCCCATGCCCTATGAAGTCGAACTTGCCATGCGACAGCTCTGCACTGAACTCGCCCAGCAAGCTTCCATCGAGACCGATACCATCGGCCAGTGGCTTCACAAGATGAACTACGCCTACCACGAGGTCAAGACCTTTCTGGCCTCGGAGATATTCGACGCAGGCCGCCACTACACGGTATTCCGCCAGCGGGCCTTGCTCAACGACGGCAGCCTGGGCCTGGAAAGCGCCGGCCAGTTCAACCGCCGCATGATGGAAACCCGCCCCGGCTGGACCGAAGTGTCCATGTTCCTGTACCTGGTGCGGGCACCCCTTACCCTGCTGCTCTACCGTTACGGAGAGGCCTACGCCAGCAGCAAAGCAGACAAGTTTCTTTTCCGCAAGTGCATGGAAGACAAGGCCCGCCACCTTGCCTACGGCATGGCCCACGTAAAGTATGCGGTGGCCAATCAGGAACCTGGCTTCGGAATGGGTCTCAATAACCTTATGCGGGGCGTGGAACGGGATCTGGTACAAGACCTTAAGGACCCTGTGTTGTGGGAGGCCCTGGCCATAATCATCGGCGGCGGCGTTGCCAACATCGTAGAAGGAATGGCCGTGGTGCGGGACCTGCAGCAGAGATACATCAAAGACTACCTGAAACGAATGCAGTGGGCCGGTCTCAACAAGACCGAGGCCAACCTGGCCCCGGAGCTGGCAGCATTTCTGCGCCGTGAAGAAGCTGCGCCGGCGGGTGACTAGCCATGCCTATTTACGAATACCGCTGTGAAGGTTGCGGCGGCGTCAACAGCGTTTTCCTGCGCTCCTTCAGTTCTGCCGACCCCACCTCATGCCAGCTTTGTGGCGGCGAGGCCCTCCACCGCATCATATCCCGCGTAGCCTACATCCGCTCAGATGCGGATAAAATGGAGCAGTTGGACCCCAAGTACCACAAGATGGTGGACCAGGCCATTGGCAAGGCTCCGGCCAACTCCGACCCCGACTACCATATGGACCGGATGGTCCCCTTCAGCCAGGCCAGAGAAAAAGGTGAGCCTTACTTCAAAGAATAGCCCGCAAGACTGTTACAGCCACAAATTACATCCCTTTCACTGCTTCAGGAGACTATAAATGAGCGACCCTGTTTCTACGGCCCTGACCTTCCCGTCGGTTGAGTGGTTCCAGGCATTGCAGGAAATGGTCAACAACGACAAGGCGTTTCGGCGACTCGGCAACATTGATGCGGTAATGGGGGTTAAAGTCGGGGCCAGGGTTTTCGTCATCACCTTCGAAGCCTTCGAATGCACCGAAGTCAAGGAAGGCACCGAGTACGACCTGATCGACGCGGATTTCTTTCTGGAAATGTCAGTGGAGCAATGGCAGGACCTGGTCACCAACACCAGGGATAATGATGGCGCCGACCTCACCCACACCCTTAATACCCTGGACCTGATGATAGAAGGCGGGATATCCGACAACGCCACCGGCGATCAATTAAGGGCCGACATATTCTTTCGCGTAAACGAAAGCCTGCAACGTTTCTTCGACAGTTCCGCCAAGCTGGATACCGTATTTGAGTGACCTGGCCGGTGCCGGGCTGCTTTCACCGGGATGCAAGTCTCCCAACCCCGACTACCTTGCCTTCTCTACGGTCCCACTTGCCATTAGCAAATGGTTGTTTGAGGACTGCAATCTTGGCTTTAGGATTTCATCGTAAAGTCCCCTTCAGCCCCAAGTTCCACTGCGTTGCCACGCAATCCCCCTACCCTGCCTCCTGCCGGGGCTTGATTATCCTCCAATTTATGCTCTAATAGCTGCGGCGCCCTTACTTGGCAATTAATTCCCCAGCCTTGAGAGACAGCCTTGCATGAAACAACGGGTACGCACCGGTACTGGCCTACATTCACCCTGGTGATTGTTTTAGGGTTGCCCAGCATTGTCCTGATCTTCCTCGGCGGTGAAACCATCCCCTGGCATCAGCCTGCGTTTACGGAGTGGGCATTCTGGCCGGCGCATTCTTGCTTTCCTGGGCCGCAGAGGTAGCCGAGCTGGACATTTCGGCGTCTCTGGCCATTGCGATTCTGGCTCTGCTCACCATCTTGCCGGAGTATGCTATCGAAGCCATCCTGGCCTGGGATGCGGGCGAGTCCTTCGACCCGGCGACGCGGGCGGTTACGGCGGAGACCCAAAGGGTGGCAGCCAATATTACCGGCGCTAACCGGTTGCTCATTGGCTTCGGTTGGGCCATCGTCATCCTGCTTTTCTGGCTGAAGCACCGGAAACCCCTGGACCTTCGCGGCAAGCTGGGCCCGGAATTAATCTTCCTGGCGATCGCCACCCTCCTGACATTTGCCATCTTTTTCCTGAGGGGAATCCATGTCCTGTTGGCCGCCTTGCTGATTGGCGTGTACGTGGCCTACCTGTGGGTCAGCATGAGAAGCAAAGCGGAGGAGCCTGAGTTGGCGGGCATTCCGGCCTGGCTGGGCGGCCTGCCGGTGAAATGGCGACGAACGGCGGTTGTGGCGCTACTTTTGTATGCCGCCATCGTCATTCTGGTGGCCGCCGAACCCTTTGTAGAAGGCCTTATTGACACGGGCAGACACATGGGGATTGATGACTTCATCCTGATCCAGTGGATTGCACCGTTGGCATCGGAAACCCCGGAGATCGTCGTCGCGGTGCTGTTTGCCTTGCGGGCAAATCCCGCGGCCGGCCTTACGGTGCTCATTTCTTCCGAGGTTAACAAGTTTACTCTGCTGATTGGTAGCATGGTGGTAATCTTCAGCATCTCGGCGGGAGAACTTCTCACTTTCCCCCTAAATGACAGACAGGCCATTGAGTTCCTGCTCACCACTTCGGTGGCTGCGTTTGGCCTGTTGCTGATCGCCAAGCGAGTAGTGGACTGGCGGGCCGGCGCACTCTTGCTCGGCTTGTTCGTGGCCCACCTGTTCTTCCCCAGCGCGGAACATCGCTTGTGGTTCGCCTTCGCCTATTTGAGCTTGGCCGGGTTGCTGGTTATTCTGGATTGGCGCCGGGTTAAATACCTGGTCCGGGAGGAGAATATCGAATAGAGCAATGGGCCGAAATTGTGGGACTTTCCTCCCCGCACCTCTTGATCCCCCCTAAGGACCGCCCTGAGCCCATCACTCCCGCTCGTCCTGAGCCGTGCGAAGGATTGCCATTGCAGCAGTACCCTGGTCTTTTCTTCGTCATGGCTCCACTCCGGTTTGGCCAATCCCGCTTGGAATGCCCTGCACTCCAGGCGCGATTCGCAGCGCCTCGATGTCCGTTCAAGTTGACATCCCATAGGTGCTTTGATAGTATCTCCAAGCCTGTGCGGCCTTTTTCTGGCGGGCGGTATTGTTGCGCCGCTTGCGTTATAATTCAGCTGGGTGAATGCCCTACCCGAACAGGAGGTAACCGCAAAATTGGCTTTTGTAAATGGGTTGAGGTGCCGGGAATGCAGCCGGGAATACCCGGGTGAGGCCCTCAACGTCTGTGACTTCTGCTTCGGACCGCTGGAGGTGGTGTACGACTACGCCACCATTTCTGAGGTGGTCAGCCATGACCGCATCGCCGCCGGCCCCCTGAGCATCTGGCGCTATCATGACCTGCTGCCAGCCAGCGGCGAGGATCCGGTGGATATAATGGCCGGGTTTACCCCGTTGCTAAAGGCCCGCAACCTGGGCAAGCTACTGGGATTGAACAACCTGTACATCAAGAATGACAGCGTCAATCCCTCCTATTCCTTCAAAGACCGTGTGGTCTCGGTTGCCGCTACCAAGGCAGTGGAGTTCGGATTTGAGACCATTGCCTGCGCCTCCACCGGCAACCTGGCTTGCAGCGTGGCGGCACATGCCGCCCGGGCCGGCCTGAAGTCCGTGGTGTTCATTCCCTCGGATCTGGAACGGGGGAAAGTGATTGGCGCGGCTGTTTACGGTCCCACCATGGTAGCGGTGGACGGCACCTACGACGAGGTTAACCGCCTTTGCAGCGAGGTGGGCGACAATTACCCCTGGGCCTTTGTAAACATCAACATGCGCCCCTACTACGCCGAGGGCAGCAAGACCCTGGGCTACGAGGTGGCGGAACAGTTGGGTTGGCGCATACCCGACCACGTGGTGATTCCATCGGCCTCCGGCGCCATGTTTACAAAGATCTGGAAGGGCTTCAACGAACTGGCCTGCCTAGGCCTTCTGGACGGAGTGGATGCCATGACTTTTGGCCCCGACCAGAACACGGTGCACCATCCCGCCATCACTACCAGGATGCATATGGCCCAGGCCGAAGGCTGCTCCCCTATCGTCAGCGCCTGGTCCAACGGGCAGACCCACATTCGCCCGGTACGGCCCGACAGCATTGCCAAATCGCTTGCTATCGGCAATCCGGCCGACGGCATTTATGCTCTTAAAGTTATCAAGGCGTCCGACGGTTCAGCCTATGCGGTACCCGAATCCCTGGTGGTCGAAGGCATCAAGTTGCTGGCAGAGACCGAGGGTATCTTTACCGAGACCGCCGGTGGCGTCACCGTTTCTGCCCTGAAGCACCTGGCAGAAAGCGGCGCCATCAAGCCTGATGAATTGACCGTCGCCTACATTACCGGCAATGGCCTGAAAACCCAGGAGGCGGTTGAAGAAGTCGTCAACCCACTGCTGGTTAAGCCCACCATGAGTTCCTTCGAGGAAGCACTGGAGGGCCGCGCCGCAGTAGGCGGCTAGTAAATTATTGAGAGGAAGGGTGAGATGGGCAGGCAGAGGGTCAAGTTCACGTTTGAAGCTGATCTGGTCAAAGAGCCAATTATCTACATGCTGGGCCGCGACTTTCACCTGGTGACCAACATCCGCCGAGCCGACGTGGGGGACACCTTGGGTTGGGTCGTGTTGGAGTTGGACGGCGAAAAAGAGGAAATTGAACGGGGCCTGCAGTGGGTAAGTTCCACTGGCGTCCGAGTTGACCCAATTAGCGGAGATGTTTTGCAGGGCTAGACCATAGCCAAAGCTCCGCTTGTTCCGATTCGAAAATCCGCAAAGCATTTAGTAACAATTCAGGAGGAAACCCTCAAATGCCCGTTACGGTTCGTATCCCTACGCCCCTGCGCCGCATGACCAATGGAAAGGACAAGGTGGAGTTGGAAGAGAGCAACCTTTCCTCTATGATTGAAAACCTTGAAGCCTCATATCCAGGAATCAAGGAACGCCTTATTGATGAGAACGGGGAACTGCGTTACTTCGTCAACATTTATCTGAATGGCGAAGACGTCCGCTTCCTTGACGGCTTGGACACCTCCGCCGCATCCGGCGACGAGATCAGCATCGTTCCCGCCGTGGCCGGGGGCTAAATCCGCAGCCCGCAGTAAAGCCTCTCATCAGAGAAAGCTGCACATTCCGCTCGTCCTGAACCTGTCGAAGGACTACCGGTTAGATTTCGACAAGTTCACCATGAGCGGAATGTTTGTTGCCTGAGGGGAAATAGCTGCTTCGTAATTTGGATCAGCGGACGCCTAGGGCAATCTTCAGTTCCTGATCAGCATCCCCGGCTGGCAGCGGCGGCAGAAGTTGGTAAGCCGTTGGTTTGCATTAAGCTGCGAGATGTTCCCGCCACACACGGGGCAGGGCTCCCCGCCTTTGCCGTGAACCTTGAGAAAGTCCCGTATCTTCACATGGATGTCGTCACCCACCCGCTCTCTGAGCACGGAAATGGCATCTTCGACCACTACCCGGCATTGTTGATGAAGAAGGGCCAGTTCTTCTTCCTTCAGAGTCCGACCTTGCGGAAGGGGGAAATTCCGGCAGCAAAGAGGATTTCGTCAGACAGAGTAGGCGTTGCCTATACCTGCAACAAGATTGCCCCGGGTCAGCACACCCTTGACCTCGCCCCGAAACTTCTTCAGGCCAGCCTTGAAGTCTTCGAGGGGCACGTCCGCCAGCACGTCAACACCCTGCTTCTCCAGACGATAGATGCCCTCCAGTTGATCGGAATCAACGTAATAGACCATCCCCATCTGACGCTCGTCCAGGTACCGGAGTTGAGACTCGTCGTCCAGGCCCAGCACAAAGGATGTCCTCTTATAGACACGGGCCCTGGGTTGACAGTACTGGACGGCGCCGGTCAGCATGGGATTGATGGCCAGCCAGCGGTCTCCCGACAACTCGTTCAGCAGAAACTTGCCCTCGCGGCGGAAAGGACCCAAGGTTCTTCCGGTCAAGTCCGCAGTAAAGTCACCGGCCATGGGCCTTAACACGGTGGGACGCAGCACCTGGACCGAGTCGATTGACCGTCCCATAACATGGTCGTTCAGGTAGTCCTTGATTACTTCCAGGTCCGGAGCCTCAGGCATTGTGTGCCTCCTTTCCGCCATCAAGGTCGGCGGATGTGGCAGACTGGACTAAGTTCAGGTTAAGCTCTACGCTTCCTCACCCTCAACCTCTACGCCGCCCAGACCCTCTTCCTTGAACAGTTGGGCCTTGCGGGCGTAGCTCTCGGCGGTGCGGCGAATCATGGCGTGGTGGCGTTCGTTGGTGGGAGCTTCACGGGCCGCGGCCGGTACACCACAGTACGAAGGAGTTGGGGCCGAATTCCTGCCGCTCCAGGACTACCGCCCCGCTGGCAATGACGGAGTTTTCGCCCAGTATGACACCATCGTTCAGGGTTGCGCCATTGCCAATTAGGCAATGGGTCTTGATGTGCTTGGCGTGGCTGATTACCCCGTGTCCCAGGGTAACGTAGTCCTCGTAGATGGCGTCGCTGTCCGCATGGAGCACACAGTTGTCCTGGATGTTTACATGCTCCCCCAGCGTAATCTTGATGGTGTCGGCTCGTATGACAGTGCCGGGCCACACGCTGGAATAGGCGCCTATTTCCACATCGCCCACCACATAGGCAAATTCGCTAACCCAGGCAGTGGGATGAATCTTGGGGGTCATCCCCCGGTAGCTGCGAATCATTTATGGCTCCTTGTTAAATATAGAAAATTGCTGATAGTTTACCCGTAAGTAATCCCTCTTCGGAAGCCCTTAAGAAAGGAGTACGGTATACATGCTCATGGGAATAGGAATGTCGATGCTTGCTTTCGCCTTGGTCAGTATGTTTGGTATACATAGAATATACTGTATAGACTTTCAGAAAGTGTCATAATATAAATTATTTGTGAAGTTTTCTGGCTATATTTGGGTGGTACATTGCCAATTCAGTCTTTCAGGTGACACATACTCAGTGACAGTGTACACTGTTGCCTGCTTGAGTTGCTGTGTCACAATGAAAGAAGAGGGTACGGTTTACAACAAAGTGAGGCCATAAATGATAAGTGAAGAGTTAGTAAGGGCCCAGAGCGCAATAGAAGAGCGGCTTCGAGCAAATGACGGGCCAATGAAGGCAGGGGATCTTTTCAAACATATTCAAGACGCGGGCCTTCGAGATATTGATCTTAGGGAAGCGGTGTGGCTTCTCATTGGTAAAGGAAAAGTACAACTGAACTGGGACCGCCAGTTAGTATTGGCCGATGAACTTGATCCGAAAGCGACCGAAGGTTGATTGGCATGCCATTCGGTCCCCGCGAAGAGCGGTTCCATAACAATGACCGCGCACCGGATCAGAGAAACCCCTTCCAAAGAGACCGCGACCGGATAATCTACACTTCAGCTTTCCGCCGTCTGGCTTGGGTTACCCAAGTTGTCTCCGCCGCAGAAGGCGAACCTTTCCACAATCCTCTAACCCACACATTAGAAGTTGCCCAGATAGGCAAGCGTCTGGCTGAAAAGCTTGTCGAGGAGCAACCTGAAGAAGCCCATGAATTAGGCGGAGTCGAACCAGAGGTGGTTGAAGCTGCCGGATTGGCACATGACTTGGGCCACCCGCCATTCGGACATGCCGCAGAAAGAGAATTGGACGGCTTGGTGCAAGGGTTACAACTCCCCGATGGCTTTGAAGGCAATCCGCAGTCATTTCGAGTAGTTACGAAACTTGCTGTAAGGAGCGCAGAGACTCCCGGCCTTAACCTGAGCCGCGCGACGCTCAATGCTATCCTAAAATATCCTTGGTTCAGACACGCTACTCCTCCTAACCGTCACCGCAAATAGGGAGCTTACAGTACCGAAAGGCCGGAGTTCGAGTGGGTTAGAGGGGAAGAACCTCGGGAAACATGGAAAAGTGCAGAAGCGGAGCTAATGGACTTTGCCGACGATATAGCTTATGCAGTTCACGATGTCGAAGACTTCTACCGGACAGGTTTGATACCTCTGGACAAATTGGTGAGAGATAGAGATGAAGTGGACAAGTTCTTGGACGGCAGCTTCGCAAATTTGGAAGGCAACTATACACCCGCACCATTCGACAAGAAAGAATGCAAGGCCGCCTTCACTGATATCTTGGAATTTGCTCCCATCAATGACCCCTATTCAGGCACCGGCGACCAGCGTGCGAGACTGAGGTCTTTTACCGCCGGACTTATCGGTAGATACGTCAACGCAATACAACTGCATGTGCCGGAAGAATCCAACAGGCGTCGAGTTGAAATAGTACCATTAGTTGAAATGGAGTTGTTCGTATTCAAACAGTTGACTTGGTTCTATGTAATCAACAACAGCGCGTTGGCCGCTCAGCAGTATGGGCAACGGAGAATAGTAAGGGAGCTGTTCCAGATATTCAACGATGCGGCAGAAAGCAAGTCACTGGATATTTTCCCCGCCGGCTCAAAAAGCCGGATGGAAGAATTGACTCGAGACGGCCAATGCAATTCCCCTGACGCGCGCGTCCGAGTGGTAGTGGACTTAATCGCAGGTATGACGGAGCATCAAGCCGTCTCTATGTACCAGAGGCTTACAGGAGTTTGGCTCGGCACGGTAATGGATACGATTGTCAGGTGACCGCCAACTGGAACTCGTTACTCCGAAACTGGGCCACTCGCTGGAGCTTTCCACGAAATTATCCCTGCAAGCCCATTGACGCTAAACCCCGCCCCGGGCCGCCAACCACTTCTCCTTCTGTCGCTGTCGGGTGGCCTCGTCGGTTGGCCGATAGACATGATGAAAGTCCCGGCGGAAGCCTTCGAAACGACCTTCCAGGATGGATTGGCGTATGCCGTCCATCAGACGCAGGATGAAGCGCAGGTTGTGAACGCTGGCCAGCCGCAGTCCCAGAACCTCTTTAGCCTTGAACAGGTGCCACAGGTAGGCGGCGGTGAAGTTCCGGCAGGCGTAACAGTCGCAATCTTCCTCCAGCGGAGAGTCCTGCTCGGCAAAGCGGCGGTTGGAAATGTTCACCCGTCCCGTTCGGGTGAAGAGGGCCCCGTTGCGGGCAACCCGCGTGGGCAGAACGCAGTCGAACATGTCCACGCCCTGGGCCACTCCCTCTACCAGGTCTTCCGGCGAACCCACTCCCATAAGGTAGCGGGGCTTGTCGGCAGGCAGCAACTCGGTCACCTGTACAGTAGTCTCATACATCTGGGACTTGGACTCCCCCACGGCCAAGCCGCCGATTGCGTAGCCAGGAAAGGGAATGGAGGCGATGAACTCGGTCGACTCCCTCCGCAGGTCGGCGAAGGTGCCGCCCTGCACGATGCCGAACAGGGCCTGCCGCCGGGTGTTGTCGGAATAGGTTGGGGCGGGACTTACATAGTGGGCGTCGTAGCAGAGCTTGGCCCAGCGGTGGGTGCGGTCCATAGCCCTTACCACTTCGTCCCGTTCGGCGCCGTAAGCAATGCACTGGTCCAGGCACATAATGATATCGGCGCCCAGTCCCTGCTGATTCGCAATGGCAAGCTCGGGAGTAAAACGATACTCGGTGCCGTCAATGTGGGACCGGAAGCGAATGTGGTCTTCGTCCACTTGTCGGAAGGACCCCATGCTGAACGCCTGAAAGCCACCACTGTCAGTGAGTATCGGGCGTGGCCAGCCCATGAACTTGTGCAGCCCGCCCAGCCGGTCCACCGTCTCCACACCGGGGCGCAGGAAAAGGTGGTAGGCGTTGCCCAGCACGATCTGGGCTCCCACCGCAATGACCTCTTCCGGAGTAAGCGTCTTGATGGTCGCCTGGGTAGCCACCGGCATGAACACGGGCGTGGTCACGGTTCCGTGGGGCGTGGTAAATTGCCCGGCCCTGGCTCCCTGGTCCTGATGGAGCAGTTGGAATGTGAACGCAGGCTGGGTCATGTCGACTGGCTCGCAACCTGGCGACGTCTGAGAGCTTCCTGCACCATTAGGATCGTAATTATCACGCACATCAGGCCAGGAATCCCCAGAAGCACCCAGTCATCTATTTGGCCCAGGAAGGCCAGTCCTTCCACCGCCTTGCCCAGCTGGCCCATGCCGATGGCCAAGGCTCCGCTTAGCACGGTGACGCCGTAGAGGATGCGGATACGACCCGAGTCCACGAAGCGGGTGGCAGTAGCCCCAATCTGGGAACCCACGGACGCTGCCGCCAGAATAATCAACGCCATCAAAGGATCCACGTTGTTGCCCAGGGCATACAGCAGAGTGCCCCAGGAACCAGTGATGATGACTTGGAACAGGTCGGTTCCGATGGCTACAGTAGTGGGAATGCCCACCACGAACACCAGCACTGGCATCAGGATGAAGCCGCCGCCGGCGCCCAGTAATCCGGCAAAAAACCCAATGCCGAAGCCAACCAGCACCGGAACAAAAACGGAGATTCGTTCAATGCCCGACACGTTCAACGCAAGGTAAGTTGAGAGGGGAGGAATCCCCGGTAATTTGACAGCGTGGGGCGGTATGCGCAGCGACTGGACCCGTTGGGTCAGTGCGGCTGTAGAAACCGTCTCACCTTGTCCCTCACTCCGGACGGGACGGCGTCGGGTTTTAATATAGTCAAAAACCAGGAAGGAACCCAGCAAGAGGAGTACCACCACGTAAACGTAGGGTATGACGTTGCCTACCTGGCCGGCAGATTCCAGGGCACTGTTAAGGGACTCGGCAAGAAAGACCGCGGGCAGAGCGCCGAGAACCATGGGAATTCCCAGCTTGAAGTCCACGTTGCCCAGGCCACGGTGCTTGAGCATATTGATAATGGAAGACCCCATTATCAAAGTGAGGCCGGTACCTATGGCGTAGATTTCAGGCACTCCGAAAACCAGCAGGCCGCCGGTGATGAGGAAGCCTCCGCCAACCCCGAAGAAGCCGCCCAGGGTGCCCACAATGACGCCCAAAAGGACTAGCAGCACGGGATTTACGACCACGTCGGCGTTGGGGAAGAGCATACCCTACCTAATGCCCCCCGTGTCCCGAACCTTGGCCGTTTCCACGGCCACTGCCCCCTATAGCGAGACCCACGCCGCGCAGGACAATTTCCCAAAACCCGTACAGGACCAGCCCGGCCACGGCAATAACAACCATGACCAACAGAGCCCAGAGGAAGGGAGATTCGGTGCTGAATGTCTTCAGAAAGTGGGTCAGGGTTTTCGTACATGGCGGATAGTATAGCGGATTTGGTAAGAAGGTGTTTTGGGGAATTAAGCATCCAGGGCAAATTTCAATGCTCGTCAGAGTCCCCCAAGGCGCATAGATTTGTGTACAACTCCGGTATGGCATCTTGGATAATGGTCCAGACCACCTGATTATCGATCCCTATGTAATCGTGCATCATCACGTTTCGCGCACCAACAATCGCTCTCCAGGGGATTTCAGGGTGGTCTTGGCGAAAATAGTCGGGGATGTGAGTTGCCGCTTCACCAATTAGGGTCAAATTACGAAGGCTGGCATCGTACAGTACGCGAGTCGACAGAAAGGTATTTCGATCAAGGCCCGCGCTGTAATCCATGACCCTTGAACAGAATTCAATCATGTCTTGAATGTACAGCCTCCAGGGACGTGCGGCTGAATTCGGGTCAAACATATACAGACTCGGCATCTATATAGGGGCGCAGTTCCTTTCGCAGCGCCTGCTCTGTAACAAGCACAACTTGGTGTCCCATCATGTCTTCGATATAGAACTGCACACCAAAGTACCGTTTCCAATCCACTTCGCCTTCAAAACCAACCAGAATATCAATTGAGCTATCCTCCTCTGCCTCATCACGCACAACTGCCCCAAACAAAGCAAGGGAACTCAGTCCGAACTTTTCCACCAGTTCCGGCTTGTGCTTCCTTAGTTGCAGCAACGCCTCGTCCCGCGTCAATGCCGTCTTTGCCATATCGTCACCTGTGTAAAACAAATAGACAGGACTTGCAGGACATTGTCCACCTGTCCTGTGTGCCCTGTCCATCCATCGGTTTGCGAAGGGTGTCCTTTGGACTAGGGGTTGGCCGGGGCGCCGGCGATTACCATGGCGCCAAACTCGCGGTCAATACCCCGCGGCCACTCGCGACCCTCAGGGTCGCTGATGTGGATGACCAATGAGGGGCCTAGTTCCACTATCTCCATCCGGATGGTGTCGCCGTCCTGCACCGGACCGATATGCTGGTGGTTGACGCCAGTGGCTACCACGTCCCCTGGTTCCAGGGTCGTAACCTTGGAAAACTCGGAAATCAACTCCCGAATGGGGTGGGCCATATCGCTGGTGGGGAAGTCGTGGCGGGGCTCTTCGTTGTTCCACAACCTGATCTGCAGGTTTTGCGGGTCAGGAATCTCGTCGGCCGTAACCAGGGCCGGACCCATGGGAGCGAAGGTATCCCAGCATTTGCCTAAGAAAAAGCTGTTGCCCAGGGCCCCCGGAATGCCCCGAGCCGACATATCCAGGAAGTTGGTGTAACCAAAGACATAGTCCAGCGCCTCGTCCTGGCTGACGTTGGTAGCGGTCTTGCCGATGACGAAAGCCAGTTCCGGCTCGTGGTGGAAGATGCTCGCCGGGGCAGGGGGGAGGACGCAGGTATCGCCATTGCCAATGATGCCGGTGGGGGATTTGAGGAAAGCGTCCAGCCTCGCTGGTAGCCGCTGACCGAACTCCAAATAATTTACGGCGGCGCAGATCACCTTGGTCGGCTTGGGTACCGGCGCACGCAACCGGACGCTGTCCAGGGCCCACCCCCGCTCTGACCGGCAATAGCAGCCTCAATTTTGGCCTTCATATCTTCCCAGTTGGTAATGACCTCGTCGATCAGGTCATGCGGACGCCGGAAGGTCATGCCTCCCACTGCGGCCATGGCGTCAACCACGTTGCCGTTCTGAATCACACCAAGTTGATAATCGTTGTACAGGACCAGTTTCATTGTAGAAGTTCTCCTTTTTCAGGTAGTGTCTTTGTGCTTCACTTGTTCAATTTTCCGCTGGTTTACACGAACAATTCCCTGGGCAAGCCCGACTGTCGAATAATTGATAACAGTGTTCCGGTGCGCAATTCCTGGTGGTCGGGAACTGGAACTGTTCTGGTTCCCCCCGGTACGACTCGCTGCATGATGATATGACTGCCGCTCCTTCTTACCTGAAAGAACCCTTGCCGCTCCATGATTTCGCAGACTTCCCTGCCCGACAGCACACGAAGCCTAGCCAGCGGCCACCTCTACCTGGGTCACATAGACTTCGCTGTGCAAACGTTCCTTTATTTCGGTGGCAGATGCCGTCTCAAAGAACAACTCCAGCGCCTCTTTCAAGTTGTCCCTGGCCTCTGACACCGTACCTCCCTGGCTGGCAATATCCAGTTCGGGGCAGAGGGAGACATACCCTTCGCCCTCCCTTTCAATGATTGCTGTTAACTGTCTTGGCATTGCTGGCCCCCGATATTGGTTTGGAGACTGGAATGACGAATACGGCAGGGTATACAACAGGCGTTCCTCTGCGGCCTCAGTCTAACATTGAGAATGGTAGCACCAACACTCAGACCGGTCTATGGTCGCCCTGCCTGAGCTTCTTGTACACACTCTGTGGAAGTTCCTGACCATCTACCGCGGCCTTCGATGATAGAATGGAAACCGGTAAATGAACGGCAACTGCCCAACAGGAGAACGCTTATGGAACGCCATATTCCCAGCAAAGACGAGGTATTGGCCTACCTGAAGGAAGACCGTAACTGGGGCCGGTGGGGCGGCGACGACCAGATGGGAGCCATGAACATGGTAACACCGGACAAGCGGGTGGCCGCCGCCGGACTGGTCCAAACCGGCCGGGCCGTCTCCCTGAGCCGGGTTTACCCCAAGACGCCGGCGCCCAACAACCCCAATCCCGCCCAGCACTTCATGCGCCGCAACCCCCGGGAGCCCGGCGGCGGCTCGGCCGTCGACTACTATGGCGTTTCCTATCACGGGCAGGCCAACACCCACCTGGACGCCCTGTGCCACGTATGGGATGAGAACGGTATGTGGAACGGTCGGCGCCCCGAGGACGTCATTACCTACGACGGGGCCACCTGGGGTTCCGTCGAGCACTGGAAGGAAGGAATAATCACCCGAGGTGTGCTGCTTGACGTACCCAAGTTTCGCGGCGAACCCTTCGTAACCCTGGATAAGCCCATCCACGGCTGGGAACTGGAAGACGTCGCTAAGGCCGAAGGTATCACCCTGGAGCCTGGGGATGCGCTGGTGGTGTACGGCGGACGGGGGAAATGGGACGAGGTTAACCCTATCTGGGGCGGCGACCCGGCCGGCCGCGCCGGGCTTCACGCTTCGTGTCTCAAGTTTTTGCGGGAGTCGGACTGCTGTCTGCTGGTCTGGGATATGATGGACTTCATGCCCAACGGCTATGACCTGCCCTGGAGTGTCCATGCGGCGATCTTTGCCTACGGCATCGGCCTGCTGGACAACGCCCTGCTGGAACCATTGGCCGAGGCCTGCGCCGAGGAGGGGCGGTATGAGTTCATGCTGACAGTCAACCCGCTGAGGGTGGTGGGTGGCACCGGTTCCCCTGTAAATCCAATCGCCCTGTTTTAGCCGATTGGAGCCCGGCTGTACGCGCCGAGGTAATCTGCCCCGTCAATCCCTGCCGTGAGAGCAGAAAAGTGGACTTACGGCGCTAAAAATACAACGCCTAAATTGGGGGCTTACAGATGAGTTCGTCCCGTCAGTCTGGCAGTTTGGGGCAAGCGTTGGCCATCGTCGCCCTGTCCCTTTCCGGCGTCGCCCTTGCATTGGCCATTGTCGCCGTGGTGCTGGCGACAGTTTCCCGCGACTCGGACGGGGACGCAGAACAACCCCTGGCTGACCGGTATGAATATACGGTGTACCTGGTAAACCGGGCCATTGACTTCTACGAGGAAAATGTCAGGGAAGCAACCCTGGAACATTACAATTCGCCGGAAAGCGTTGACGGCCCGAGGTATGTGTTCATTTATGACGAGAAGAACATCCGCGTCGCCCACCCGACGAGGCCCGACCTTCTGGGCAAGCCCGTTGATGGGCCATCGGGCGTAGATATCAACGGATATGCTTACGGCCAGGTGATTGCAGAAACCGGCGAGGCAGGACAGTGGGTTGATTACGTCTTTCTCAACCCAAAGACTGGGAACCAGGAGTACAAACACTCCTGGTTCCGTAGACACGAAGGGTTGCTCTTCGGCTCAGGCTGGTACCAGGTGTTACCCACCTCGCCCCTGGCGCCGAGCAAAGCAGACCCAGCGGACTACTCAGTGGCCCTGGTAGACCGGGCAATTCGCTATTACAAGGCCCACGGGCTCGAAGGTTCAATAAGGCACTATAGTTCACCAGATAGCGTGGACGGGACCCGGTATGTGTTCATGTTCGACGAGAACAATATCCGCATCGCCCACCCCACTCGGCATGACCTCTTGGGCCAGCCAGTGGATGGCCCCACCGGCGTGGACATTAACGGATATGCCTACGGCCCCATCTTCGCGCAAACCGATGAAGGGGGTCAGTGGGTCGACTACGTCTTTCTGAATCCCGCCACCGGGGAACCGGCCAGCAAGCACACCTGGCTAAAGAGATATGACGGGATAGTGTTCGCCTCGGGATGGTACGAATAACGGCTACGTCAACGAAGCCCAACATAGGCAAAACGATAAGGGCAGCCCTCGTGGCTGCCCTTGCCAGTGCTAGACCTCCATCGCATGAATTATGAATCTAGCTATACTGCTCCAGCTTCTCACACTCATCCGCCAGTAGAGCATAAAGCAGCGTATCCCACCAGCGGCCCTTGAAGAATTCATTCCGTCGCTGTCGGCCCTCCAACCGGAAGCCCAGCCGCTCCAGCACAAGGGCCCAAGCTACATTGTCGGCAATGCACCATGAGGATATGCGGCTGAGACCGAGTGCATTGAAACCAAAGTTGACCAGAGCCCGAGCGGCTTCGGTGGCATACCCCGTACCCCAATAGCGAGGGTCCAACTCATAGCCAATATCAGCCTCCCAGTCGTTACCGGGTTTACGGCGGATACCGCAATTGCCGATGAGAGAGCCTTCGTCTATCAATTCGATAGCCAACTGAAACCGGCGGCGTGGTTCTTCGTGCTGCCACCCCAGAAACATCGCCACTAACTCCCGCGCATCCGCCTCGGTGCGTTCGGCCCAGGGATAGTAGCGAAGATAACGTTGGTCTTGCTGGTAGGACAGCACGGCAGGCCAGTCCCCTTCAACGAACTCCCTCAGCAACAACCGCTCCGTAACTAACTGCATCCGGTCAATACCCAAAGCCCACATTCACGGGACGACCTCGAACTGGACCTCGGCCACCTTGCGTCCTTCGTGATAGACGTAAATCCAGTGACGACCAATGGCCCACACTTGCTCCGCCCCGGGCCCTACGGAAATCCACTGGACACCCCCGGAGTAGCGGCGGTCTGCCTGGATAGTGAGGGAATTGCGCCGGTACGGGAACCCGTCCTCATAATTCTCCACTACCTCGAAGGTCAATTCCTGGGGAGGGCCTGCGTAGTCGTGGGAATATTCCAGGGTAAGCCAGACCCGGTCTGCCACTGACGAGAGAGGGAAGGCGCTCACTGGGGCCCCGCCTTCTAACAGGGAAACGTAGGCACGGTTGATCCAGCCGTTAACAGTGGGCAACTCGGCGACTACCGGTCTGGTATCAAGCAGCGCCTCAGTTTGAGGGTCTAGGCTTGAATACCAACGATCAATCACAGCATCTATCAGGTCGGACCTTATACTTGTAGAGAGGTCTGCTTCCTCGTTGAAAACCTGCCTTATTTCGTCTATGCCTGCCGGCTTTGCTCCGGCGTCATCCCTTTCTTCAAGGGCGAGATAGAGGCGACGAAACCCTCGCCGGAATGAGTCTTCCCCCAGATTGCGGTACAAATCAAAGAAGAGGCGTTCTCCGAGGGCATAGTTGCAAACACTCCCCTCATTGCCAAGGGTACTTTCCTGGGCTTCCAATGCAACTATGTTGGCCGCCTGGCTGCAGGGATAGTGGTCAGGCTCCAGCGGTCTTCCAGTCCTGGCATACTCGGATACTGCGGCGGTGAACTCGGCGGCCCCTTCATCCAACCACATTTTGGCGCCGGCCCAGTAGAAGTGGGCTACTTCGTGGGCGATAATTTCACCTGCCTGGTCGTCTGCCAGATCGACACCTTCCCTGTCGTACTTCGATAGAATAGCAGCGTGAGTGCCGAAGTTGGTTCCGGTGTAAGAACTGACTACCGCATCCTCGAAAAACAAGGCCACGTATTGCACCGGAAAAGGCTCACCAATCAACTTCTCAGAAATTCGCACCGCATGCTCCAACAGGTCCATGGTTCCGGTAGCCCCGGGCTGCGTCCGGATGACGGCCAGAGTCACGGAGCCAGCGAGGGGCAGGCTGATATCTCGTCGTTCCACGGTGACCAGGGAGTCGTCGAGCACAGTTTCCAGCAGCGCAGGATTGGTACGATTGATGCCTGCCAGCAGGGCCACTACTGGGGCTTCCTCATCAGTTATGCCGTCGCTGACGTTGGGATGAGCCATTATCCAGTGGAAAGCGTTCAGGTCCGAATGAACCAACCGAGCCAGAGATTCCATTGCCAGCAAATCGGGGGGTTCGAGGGTGTCGAGGAAGGGCATGGCAACTATTTTTCGCGCCGACGTGGGGTCAAGGGCCAGGATGTTATCCACGTCTCCAAGAATTTCCTCCAGATCCCTGGGCGCCTCGGTAGATAGCCAGGTCTTGCTTTCCAGGTCCCAAAACAGGGAACTGTCCGTGGCAGCGTAAAATATCAGCGTTTCGGCCGCCTCCCTCTCCTCCTCTTCGACCCCGTCCCGTATCCAGGGCAAGGCACGGAGTGCGTGGGCTGCCTTCGCATCGGTGCGTTCCAACTGGTCAGCATTTTCCAGTTCAGAGAATCCCTGCGGTGGCGTAAATGCGGGACTCGACCCCGTAAGGCTGGGAACAGTAGCAGGTGTAGAAGACGCAGCCGGGGTGTTCAGGGCAGGCGTGGGCAGGAACGTCGACTGGGCGGTCGTGGCTACAGCTGTTGACAACTGGACCGCGGGCGATGTTTCCCGGGGTTCTGACATCCGGGGCAGCAGATATCCGGTCAACACGAGGTAACCAAGCAGAAGCGCCAGACCGGTTATCAGGTAAGGAGCAAAAGTCCCCAAGAGGCGCCGCATGGATGCATTATCACCCAACCGAGCCAAGAGTTCCCCAACCCAGCAAGCGAAGCGTTAAAGGATCTGGGACAGGAACAGTTGGGCCCGCTCGTGCTGGGGATTGGTGAAGAAGGCGTTGGGCTCGGCCTCTTCTACGATGTTTCCCTCGTCCATCATGATGACCCGGTCAGCTACTTCCCGGGCGAAGCCGATTTCGTGAGTTACCGTCAGCATGGTCATACCACTGCCGGCCAGTTCGCGCATCACGTCCAGCACTTCCTTGATCATTTCCGGATCCAGGGCTGAGGTGGGTTCGTCGAAGAGCATGATCTTGGGCTGCATGGCCAGGGCCCGAGCAATGGCAACCCGCTGCTGCTGCCCACCGGAAAGCTCCGAGGGAAACTTGTAAGCCTGCTCCGGGATCCCCACGCGGGTCAGCAGTTCATTAGCCACCTCTTCGGCCTCGCCCTTGCTCCAGTGCCTTACCTTGATGGGGGCAAGGGTGATGTTCTGCATAACTGACAAATGTGGGAAAAGGTTGAAGGACTGGAAAACCATTCCCACTTCGCGTCGGATGGCATCGATGTTGCGAACGTCCCCGCTAAGCTCGATGCCGTCTACGATAATGTCGCCCCGCTGGTGCTGCTCCAGCCGGTTAATGGTACGGATCAGGGTGGATTTTTCCGGAGCCTGAGGGCCCCAGGATAACGACAACCTCGCCCCTTTTGACCGAAGTGGAGACGCCCCTGAGTGCATGGAAGTTGCCAAACCACTTGTGCACGTCGCGGCAGACAATAATGTCCTCTACTTCCTGTTCCGTTGCCCTTTCTTCGATCGCCATCGGGGCCTCCTGAATATTGCCAAGAGTACTGCCAGATTAGTTGCTGGTTCAACGGAATGACCTGTAATACTTGCTTCCCGGGACTCTGATTCTCTACCGGCTACCCACACCCAGGTGTTCTTCCACCTTCCCACTGACGTAGGACATCCCGTAGGTGAATACCCAGAATACCAGGGCCAGAAAGACGAACAACTCCCTGGCACTGCTCAAGTATTCCGTATTGCTCTGGATGAAGGACCGGCCGATAGCCACCACATCCAGCATTCCAATGATGTAGACCAGGCTGGTGTCTTTGAATAGACCGATAAACTGTCCCACAATGGCCGGAATGACATTGCGGATGGCCTGGGGTAACGAAATGAGCAGCATAGTCTGCCAGCCGGGGAGACCCAGCGCGCGGGCAGCCTCGGCCTGACCGGGATGGAGCGCCTGCAAGCCGCCACGTATGTTCTCGGCCATGTATGCAGAACTAAACAGCGTAATCACTACGGCGGCGCGGAACAGGGAATTCTGGGGCATGTCCTCGGGAAAAGCCAGGGGCACCAGTGTTTGAGACATAAACAACAGGGTTATCAGCGGAACCCCGCGGAACACTTCGATGAAGAACACGCACAGCACCTTTACCACCGGAAGGGTACTGCGTCTTCCCAGGGCCAGGGCAATTCCGATGGGCAGGCTGAGGGTAATGCCCCCTATGGCCAGTATCAGGTTCAGCATTAAACCGCCCCAGTAAACCACTGAGACAGGCTGCAAGCCCGGCACCCCGGGCAGACCACGCAGCAACAGTACAGTCAGGAAAAAGACCGCCACGCCCAAAGTGGTAATCCGCGTACCGGACCCCAGTACGCCGAAGCGCGCCAGAGCCCAACCTGCCGCCACTGCCGGCGGAGTGGCCAGCAACATCAGGCGCACATCCCAGCCCATTGTCTCGAAGCTATAGGGCAGAAAAGCAAATGCCGCCGAAACGCCCGCCGCCAGCCACGCTACGGTCCGAGCCACGGCATTGCCCTTCAGGCCCAGGCGGCGCCCAGCACCACCATGACCATCAACAGGGACACTTGGGGACGCCACAAACAGTTCTGGCCGGGGCAGGCCGACTCGGTATTGTACCTGGCAATTATGAAGCGGCCACCAAGCTTGGCTATAACGGTCCAATCGGCTTCAACAAGCACCCACTTGAGGCCGAACCATAAGGCCAGGAGCAGCACCACCCCCGAAACAACGGTCAGTATGCCGTTGTACCAGTTGCTGAACATGTTGGCATGAAGCCAGCCGATAATCCCCACCTCGGTGCGGGGCGGCAGCAAAGCGTCCGGCGCTGTGGATGGAGTGGATGGACGGGAAGCCATTATCTCCTTCCCCCAAACTGGATACGCCGATTGTAGAAATTACCAATCGCAGACCAGGTCAGGCTCATTGCCAGGTAGGAGGCCATAATCAGCAGGAATATCGACACGGCCGGGGCAGTCTGGGTCATGGTTACCGCTATGTTGGTCAGGTCACTGAACGCCACAGCGCCGCCCAGGCTGCTGTTCTTGGTCAGATTCAGGAACTGGCTGATCAGCGGAGGAATGATTACCCGCAAGGCCTGGGGGAAAGTTACATTCCTCAGGGTGTTCATTGGTGACAGGCCCAAGGCGCGCGAAGCTTCGGTTTGGCCGCGGCCGACCGACTGGATTCCGGCCCGAACTATCTCGGCAATGAAGCTGGCGGTGTACATCACCAACCCAACCAGCAGGACCATCAACCCGGCTCGAGCGGTAAACCCGCCCACAATGTTTCCGAAACGGCCCTGGGGCTCAGGCGCCGAGAGGAAAAAGGGTGACGCACCGGATACGAAACTCAATAACAGCCAGGTTACGGCGCCAATCGCGACAGTTGCGCACGTCCCGTAGATCAGCGGATAACTGGGGCGGCCGGTCTCTTCCTCCCGACGCGCCTGCCTCCTGTAAATCAGGACCCCGACGACAATAGCAAGCAGTGCCAGACCCATCCAGATGAAAGAAGTCGTAAAGTTTGCGGTATGGGGCCAGGGCATGGAAAAGCCCCGGTTGCTCAGGTAGAACCAGTCGAAAATGACGTAGCTTTCCCGCACCCCAGGCAAGGCCAGGACGATATAGAACCAAAAGAACAGTTGCACCAGCAATGGCACGTTGCGAAAGAACTCGATGTAGACCGTCGCCAGCTTGGCTACGATCCAGTTGGCGGACAGGCGGCAAACCCCGATGAATATGCCCAGGGCGGTCGCCAGAATAACGCCGAACACCGCGACAATGCCCGTGTTGGTAAAGCCCACCACGATGGCGTAGAGGAACGTGTCATGAGAATCGTAGGGGAGGAAATGTTCGCCGATGGGAGTCTGGTATTCGCGATCCAGGAAGCTGAAGCCGTAGGGAATGTCCCGATCCTGAATGGCGCCGGCCATGTTGGTGAAGAACCAGACAACCAATGCCACAACCAGAATGCCGGAAACCAACTGGGCAGCCCACTGGATAACCTGGACGTGACGCCAGACCGGTATTCCCTGGTAGGTTAGAAATCGCGACGCGCTGACCATGTTGGCAAACAACTACCGGCTTCCGTATTGGTTCCAACTTAGAAGAACGCCCTGATTGTAGCGTATTTCGGGGAACTTTTCCTGCTGTGTGAGGCCAGTCATAGGCCAATCCCTTTTCAAGGACCGCGCTTTTCCAGGCGAGAACGGCCGTCGCCAGGGTGTGAGCAATAAAGTTCCCCGCCATTTCCGCTCATTTACCTCTTGCCTTTAGGCTACCGGAGAATGGTGGGGCAGGCGGTATTACGAGAACCATGGCAGGATGCGGGGGTTACAGGGGCTGTCCAGTGACGATAGTCATGGGGCACGGCGCATGCTGGTCCACAATAACATTGGAAGAAGGGAAGAAGGGTTGATGCGCAAATCTTGGGGAATCTTCAACAATGCTCGCCAATGGGAACCCCTATAATTGAACCATAAAGTCAGGCACATTTCGCCTGGGAGCAGATGCTCTCAATTGGGATGGTTTCCCATCGACTCGAGCTCCTGAACAACAAATAAGGGCGGGCATCATGCCCGCCCCTGAAGTGGTCAAACGGGGTTAGACCTTCGCTGGGTACGCTTAGCGCAAGGGCGCTGAGTAGATCTGGCCGCCCTTGGGGCAATCGGTGCAGGGGGCGTTGACCCACAAAGCGTTGCGACCACCCTCGCGCGGCAGATTGATTCCATCGGGGCCGAGGTTGCGGTTGTAAATCTCGCCGTAGTTGCCGACGGCGTTGATTACGTCCTGGGCAGCGGTATCGCTCAGGCCCAGCTCTTCCTGTCCGAACGCGCCTTCCAGGCCGAACAGGCGGTCAACTTTGGTATCGCCGGTGGCAGCGGAAGGTACGCTACCCTGATCCACACCGTAGGCTTCGGCATAGATGAGGATGCCCATAACCGTCTTCACGATGTCAAACCACTGGTCGTCGCCGTGGGGAACCACGGGGCCAAGGGGTTCTTCAGAGATAGTATTGGGCAGAATCGCGTGGTCGTCAGGGTTGCTCAATGCAGTCCGAAGAGCGGCCAACTGGGAGTTGTCGTTGGTGAAGGAGTCGCACTGACCCGCGTCATAGGCAGCCACCACCGCATCGGTGTCTTCAAAGGTGGATACGGTGAGGTCCAGGCCGTTCTGGTTAGAGAAGTCCTGAAGGTTCAACTCGGTGGTCGTGCCCAAGGTCACACAAACGGTGGCGCCGGTGAGTTCCAAGGCGTTAGTTATCCCCGAATCCTTCCGGACCATGAAACCCTGACCGTCATAAAACATGGTCTGGGCGTAGTTGCCCCAGCCGGCGTCACGGGAGGCAGTCCAAGTAACGGTCCGCACCAGCATATCCACTTCACCGGACTGGATCGTAGGACCGCGCTCGGCGGCAGTAATCAACCGGATTTCAATGGCGTTGGGGTCACCCAGCACCGCGGCGGCCAAGGCCCGGCACAGGTCGATGTCGAAGCCGACGTTGTTACCGGCGGCGTCGATACCACCGTAACCTGGCACGTCATCGCGGCTGGCGCAGATTACCTTGCCTCGTTCCTTAACTGTTTCCAGTCGATTGCCCTCCATCATGGACCTGCGTGCCAGTTCTTCTTCCAAGGTATCTACCTGGGACTTGAGGCTATCGACTTCAGACTTAAGGTTGCTGTTCTCGGTTTCCAGCGCCGTGGTATCGGTGCAACCGGCCAGCACCAGGACCATGGCGGTCAAAAACTACAAATATCAATAATGTTCTCTTCATGAACGTAAGACACCCTCCTTGTTTCAATCTCAACTATGGGATTGCTGACTGTGATTTACGAATTCTATCATCGCATTAATATTACAGTCAACAATACGTAGTTTCATTTTCGAGGTGTTTCCATTACTCAATCCTCATGCTCCGATATGAACTCTGAATTACATCGCCTGACAAGGTGTCCTTGCTACACAACAACACAACTGCAAGGCATGAAAGAAATGCAAAGGGATACCCGAAGCGTTTCCCACTGTGACCCAGTTACCTGTGCCAGCCCAGGGATGAACGGGATTCCCCGAACTCCAAAGTGTCACGATGCCAATAGTGCTCCTTTTTCATTCAACGACTTTCCATCGAGCCGAAGAAGCATTTTGCTACCTGCCTTGTCCGCGATCAAAATAGTCCTGCGCTGATCCCAGTCCCTCCAGGGCGAGTCCATAACCCAAAAGGTCGTGCAGCTCCTGCTTTAACTTGTGGGTTAGGAGCGCCCGCGAGTAGCGCAGAACCAGGTGGGGCTGCTGCGCTAACTGTCGGGCCAGTTCCCAGGCACGGGGAAGCAACTCATCCTGGGGCAGCACCTCGGCCACCAGCCCCAGTTCCTGGGCGCGGTTGGCGTCGAGCAGTTGTCCGGTCAACAGGAAGTATCTTCCACGGTTAATGCCCAACAGCAGGGGATAGATTATGTGCATTCCGTCTCCAGGGGTCAGTCCGCTCATAAAGTGGCCCGAATCCTGGAATGTCGTATGGGGCGCGGCCAGCACAATATCGCTTAGCAGGGGCAGTTCGGAATGGCGCAGGGCCGGGCCATTTACCGCGGCAATCACGGGCACCTCGATGTTGAGCAGGTTGCCCAGCAGGTGCTTGCCCTCCCAGTAAGTTCCGTCCCACTGGGCTGGTGTGCGCCGTGGGACAGTGTCGCTGGAGCCGGCGGGGCCAGTGAACCCGTTTCCGGCGCCGGTCATTATTATCACCTTGGTATCAGGGTCGGTACCGACGGCGTGGAAGACCTCGACAAGTTCCGAATGGGGACCGGCTCCCCACTGGAGGGTGTCGCCGTCGCTGTGCAGGGTCATTTGCAGGATGCCGTCCTCCCGCTCCAGCCTGGCGTATTGGAAGCGGTCCTGGTATTCCTCTAAACGTGCCATGCCTGTCCTCCCTCCTCGTACGAAGCCGCCTGATGAACCCCAAAAGGGCGATTGTTTCATTCCAACATATGCAGGCGGCGTCGGTCAGTCAACCCGCTCTGCCCGGCGGAGCACGATGCCCCGGCAGCCGGATTACTTGACAGTCAGCTTACCAATTTATAGTATTGAATGTACCTCGAAAAGCTCCCGGCTTGCCAGACCAGCCGACGAATGTGTCTGGAATTAGGCCGGGACGCTACTTCGCTGGGGATTAGTCCAGTGGTAGGACGCCTGACTCTGGCTCAGGAAGCGGAGGTTCGAACCCTCCATCCCCAGCCAATTTTCACTAAAGCCTCAATGGCCCCAACCTCGCGTTTGTTCTGACAGCTCTTTCGTGCCTATTGTTGTCCTTGAAAGTGGCAATGAAATCAACGTCAGGTTGGTTCGCAGCAACCTATCAATCCGGAAAAGCAAAAAATTGGAGCAGGTGGCCGACATCGCCGGCATCCCTGCTCCGCATCTACAATTTAGCGAGTAGCGAAATCTGCTAGCGCGCCGCCGTCGCCGGCTGGTGCGCCTTGAGGAACTCGCGCGCCTGGTTGATGGTCAGAGCCTTCAGGGCCTCATCTTCCTTCCACGGCCACGCCGTCACCCGGGCATTGGGCGCCAGCGCTACCATTTCCATGGCGGCCTCCAGGGAGTGCGATGGGGTATCGTCGGGCATGACCAGTATCGGGGTCTGACACTGGCGCGCGAAATCCCGGGTCACGCAATACACGAAGTCAGGTTGCACACGGTAGAGGTTGTGCAGGTATTGATCGATGACTTCCATCGTGATTTCGGGGCGGTTGGCGATCAACTCGGGGCCCCAGGCATCGTGACCCGAGTCGTACATGGAGTCAGGGGGTCTTGCTGGCGTGTCCCACCGGCTGACACAGGACAGCAGCCGCAACGCGGTCCGGCGCCCGCTCAATCAGCTTCATGGCAAAGGGGCCGCCGATGCAGTAGCCAATGAACGCAAACTCCTGGATGCCCAGGTGGTCCATCAGGGCCAGTTGGTCATCGGCGAAAGCTCCCCACGGGTCTTCGACCTGCACCGGTCCGGTGGACTCGCCGCCATTGGCGTTGCGCTGGTCCATGGTGATGCAGCGGAAATCGTCCTTAAAGACCTCCATGGCGTTGAACACCTGGCGCGGCCAGCCGCTCATAATGGAGCTCAATCCACCGCCGGGGGTCGCCAGCAGCGGGAAACCGGAGCCAACCTCGTCATAGTGAATAGTCACATCGCCCTTGGTAAACAACGGCATAGCAGTTTCTCCTTTTTTGTATTCAGGATTGGATCTTGCTGGCAATTTAAGCTGGGGAAGCCGGGTTGTCAAGAAAGAGGCCGGCTAGGCAGTTGCAACCACTCGACAGGAGTCAAGCCACAATACCTGCCCAACCTGTTGCAGTCCCAGCCTGTTGTAAATTTTGCCTGCCTGAGATTACACTCTGCACCAGTACCACCGAACGTAAGTTAAATAAGTTGAATCTCTTCAGGAGGCACACCGATGCAACTTGGCGTTGTTTTTCCGCAAACCGAAATAGGCTCCGACCCCGGGGCCGTGCGCGACTATGCCCAGGCGGCCGAGGCCCTGGGTTTTGAGCACCTGCTGGTTTTTGACCACGTTCTGGGGGCGGACGCCAGCAAGCGCGAGGAATGGAGCCGGCCCTACAGCCATACCGACACGTTCCACGAGCCTTTCGTCCTCTTTGGCTACCTGGCCGGCCTGACCGAAAAGCTGCAGATGACCACCGGTATTCTCATATTGCCCCAGCGCCAGACCGCCCTGGTGGCAAAGCAGGCGGCGGCGGTCGACGTTCTCACCGGGGGCCGGCTGCGCCTGGGCATCGGCGTCGGCTGGAACGATGTTGAATACGAGGCTTTGGGCGAGAGTTTCCGCAACCGGGGGCGTCGCTGTGAAGAGCAGATCGAGTTGATGCGCGCCCTCTGGACCCAGGAGGTCGTCAGCTTCGACGGCCGGTACCACCAGGTAACTCACGCCGGCATCAATCCCCTGCCGGTGCAACGTCCCATTCCCGTCTGGTTTGGCGGCGGCGCCGACCGGGTGGTGGAGCGCATCGGCCGGCTGGGCGACGGCTGGTTCCCCCAGTTCCAACCGGACAGCGCCGGACAGGAGAGGGTCGGCGAGATGAGGGAAGAGGCCCGAAAGGCCGGCCGAGACCCGGCCAACATTGGCATCGAGGGTCGTCTCAACTACGCCGACGGCCCCGACGCCTGGGGTCGTAATGCGGAAGCCTGGGCCGAAGCCGGCGCCACCCACCTGTCAATCAACACCATGCGGGCAGGGTTGTCTGACCCCGACGCCCACATCAAGGCCATCGAACAATTCAAGCAGGCGGT